ATATTAAAGTGACTAGTATATGGTGTGTGCAGAGTTTAAAAATTAAAGTTTTTTAGATAGATATTTGGTGTTTGCACATTTGCTAAGGGTTTTACAGATCTCCTCTTCCAATTTGTGATGTGCGTTCTCACACTCTAAAAATAAATTGTGTAGATTTCCTACCTAAAAGGAAGGTTACTGATTTCCTACCTTATTGTTCGCGAAATTACATGCTCGATTATAGAACGAATAGTTTGTTTAAATTTCGCACTTTTTAGAGTGTAATATAGCTGCTGTGGTGTGCGTAAATTTACTACGAAAGAGTGTACAATAGGGTGGCCCAAATATACACGTGGAAAAGTAAAGTCGGAATTTTATGCTCTCACCCCCTAGGATTGTTCTATACCGAAAAAAATGTATCCCAATTTTTTTATTTCAAAATTAAAAAATATTTAGAGGTCGCTCAAAGCGCCCAAAGTTTTCCATGTATTTTGTATGGGGAAAAAACAACTTTTCGTAGAAGTTGTATAGAATTCTTAAAAATAAATATTTTTCTATGAGAGAACTCAATTTGTCTGCAGCAGATTCCCAATAATAATACTCAAATTTTTATTTAACCATTTTTTCATCGCAACTTTAATTTAAAGGTCCACCAAAAACCCAAAAAAATCCCGAAATATTCAATGGGGGGACCAATAAAAAATCGTTAGTATTAAAAAATGGTTAAATAAACAATTGGGTCTTATTACTGAAAGTCTCCTGAAGAGAACCAGAGTTTTCCGATCGAACAATATTGGTTTTCAAGAATTCTATACCATTTCTACGAAAAGTTGTTTTACCCCATCTAAAGATACATGGAAAACTTTGAGCGACCTCTAAATATTTTTTGATTTCAAAATAAAAAATAGGGGTATACTTGTTTTCGATACAGAACAATCCTAGGGGGTGAGAGCATTACAATTCCGAGTTAACTGTTTTTGGACCACCCTAGTGTACAAGCTACAAAATACACATCTGCTGTTTGATTTTACCCGTAGAATTGTGTAAAGCCGCTAACAAATTGGATTTTTACACACGAAAATGTGTAAACGAGAAAAATAAATACTCATCGTGTAAATTTACCAAAAAATTAAAAAAATGAACAAAAATATACTCGACTTATAGGCCCCTATTATGATTTGCATTCGATTTTCGACTGTGGTCGAAAGTGCTGAGCGAACGAATTTGCATTTGGTATTATGGCACTCATTCGATGAAGAATAGCGCTATTGTGAATTTCGCTCGTTTAGGTTGTTCACAATAGAATATTTTTCACCGCTTTGTTTACAAATCGAGCAAACTAAATAGTGTGCTTATACATATTTATGTAAATTTGTTCTAATTAAAATGAAGTAAAAAAGAAAGCAAGTTTATAAAAACGTGGTAAAATGAGTACAACGA